TATTAAAGAAAAATATTTAACTTATTTTTTACCATCATTCTTGATTTAATTTACAAAAATATACAAACTCAAATTATTTATCCTTTTAATTAATTATTTAACTATTCTAATAATTCTTATGTAATATTTATATTCAATAATAGAGCATTTCTTATATAAACAATAGTACATATACCCCAAATGATTATCTACATTAATTCAGCTATTGGATTGAAAATTATTTTATAAATCTCATTTAAATGTATATAGAAATTCAAATGATCCCCTTTACCTTCATGTTCATTTCTTAATTACTTTGAGTTAATAGTAAAAATCAAATAATCATATAAAATTCCTATATATGAGACTAGGATTTGAAATATTTAGGGATTTGAGTAAATCAAGTTATAAAATACGATTATTATCATATTATAATAAAATTTCTTAACCTGGAAAATGACAAAGATCTAATTTATTAACTTTCTTCATCCTCCAAATGTCTCAAATGACTATTTTTATTTTTCTTTTCATTACTTGATATACTTTTCTAATATTATTTTGTTTTAATTAATACTCTGTAGCAATGTCGTTTAATGTTTACCCTGATTAAGCAAGAAAATTTTTAATTACATTTCATATATATATTATTTTAATTAATAACATGGATCCATTAACAAGGTACAAAATGAAATTAGAAAAAGATAAATAGCATATGCAAGAATATGAAAGAATTTAAAGGGAAAAAGAGCTACAGAATGAGATGAAGTTAAAATAAAAAAATGACAAATATCATAATATATAAAAATAATAGGATAGATAAAAAGAAATATCTCAACTCAAAGCTGAATTAAGAAAAAATCATGTTGATAGAACATTGTTTCAAAGTTAATAAATTGAGCAAGAAAAGTTAAATGTACAATAAATAATCTAGATAATAGGGGTATAAAAAAAAAATAGCTAAAACTCTAGATTCCCTAGAAAAATTTGAGAATGGATATCAAAAAGAATTTAAAACATCTTTGCATAGAAAACTTTCTAATCATTCTCATCAAATAGAATTCGTATAATAATAAAATGAAACAATCATGGAAAACAAGATTAACAAAATTAATCAATCTCTAGAACTTCGATTCAAAAAATCAGAGGATGTATTTTCTTTTAAATAAATTTAGGTTTTATCAAATCTATCTAAATAAAATAGTGAAAGAAAAAAAAGTGAAAAAATAAAAGTTGAAACTTATTAGCAGCTAGTTTAGAAACATTAAGAAAGACTATAATAGTTAAGAGATTAAAAAGCTTAATAATTTGAGGAAAAATTGGAAAAAGTTGATAAACTGTAAAAATTAAAAGAACAATAATAAAGAGAAAAATAATTATTGAGATTGGAAGCAGATAAATTAAAAGAAAAAATGAGCAAAGAATTTGAATAAGAATTAGCAGTAAATAAAATAATATATATATTTTTAGAAAATGAAATCTAAGCAAATTAAATTAATATAGAATTGATCTTAAATTAAATCATAAAGCATTAACACTTATCTTTATAAAAAAATAGATTGACTTTCCGTTTAAATTTCTAATTTAATTATTTTCTTAATTTCAATTAATTTTAATTTAAGTTCTTGTAGTTTTTAGATTATAATAACACTATCTTATTAAGAATTGCAAAAAAAAATAAAGATTAACTTTTTTTGCGAACAATTTGCTAAATAATTGATTATTTTAAATATTTTTATAATATTTCTTTATTTTTAAATATTGTGAATATTAGTAAATTATTTAATTAACAGACAAATATTAGAATGGATCAAAAATAAAAGGTACAATCATTAATGAACAATTATGTAAAGAAAGAAATTAACAGATAAGGAGTAGTGAATGTAAAAGTTTACTTAAACAATGAATTATTACATTCAATCTCATTTCCAACTTTAAATCAAACTACATAAAATTTAGTGAACCATTTAAAAAATTTGTTAAACTCTCCATTAGTAGTTGGATTTTAGACAATAGATTAAAACATACCATTGGATTTCTACTTAACATAGAATTAAGATTTAGGATTTCTTACAAATTAGACAATTTAATTAAAACCATTACATACAATATAATAAGGTCTTATTTCTTTGGAGTCATTTTATTTTTTATAATGTATAGGTGTAGGAGGGTTTTCAAGAGTATATTTAGTAAGATGTAAATCAAATGGTTAATTTATGGCATTGAAAATGATTTCAAAACAATTCATATAAGAACATGATAAATTCTAAATAATTTAGAATGAGAGAAATATAATGGTTGCTTTAGCTGAACAAAGCAATTCACATCCATTTTTATGTAAATTATTATGTGTATTTGAAACAAAAAATTGGATTTGTTTTGCCTTGGAATATTGTCCTGGAGGTGAATTATTTTAGTAATTAAAAAGAGTAAAAAGAATGGATGAACAATAGGCAAAGTTTTATTTTAGTCAAGTTTGTTTGGCAATTCATCATTTGCATGAAAATGGAATAATTTATCGAGATATAAAACCAGAGAATATTCTAATAGATTAAGATGGAAATATAAAATTAGCAGATTTTGGTTTAGCAAGACCAAATATGAAAGATGATTTATTAGCTTTTTCATTTTGTGGATCTCCAGAATATATGGCACCGGAAATGTTATTAAAATCAGGACATAATTATTAAATCGACCATTATTGTTTAGGAGCCCTTCTTTATGAATTATTAACAGGTCTACCTCCATATTATTCAAATAATCCAGAATAGATTTATAAAAATATTCTTTAACATGAATTAACATTACCAAATAAAAATTGCAGCATTGAATCCAGAGATTTAATGTAGAAATTATTATAAAAGGATGTTTTTAATAGATTAGGAAAAGAATATGGAATTTATGAAATTCTAAAACATCCTTGGTTATAAGATAAATCATTATATAAAATTCTTAATAGATAGTATGAACCACCTTTTAAACCAGATCTAATGAAAATGAATTTTGATTTAAATGAAATTAATAAAGGAGAGAATAATTTTTAAAGGGATCTTTAAAAATCATTGAATTCAGAAAATGAAAATGTATTTACTCCTTTTTTTTAAAATTTCTATTTTTCTTCAATTACTTAAAAACCATAGATTAGATCAGCTTCAATAACCTAAATAAATTCATCAAATATAGATGATAAAATTAATACTTTATTAATTAATAGTAAAGCAAAGAATGTTTTATAAACTCATACTGCATCATAACCTAATATACATAGTTAATTAAAATAAAAAAAGGTTTCTTAAGAACGAAATTCTGATAATAATAAAGAAAATATAATGAAAAATTTTAGTTCTTTAATAACAAAAACATGCAAAAAACATAAAAAGAATAATTAAAGCATGCCTGATTAAAGTTGTGCAATATCTTCTGAAATGAGATCACTTTCAACTTAGAAAATAATAGAATCTTAAAAAGTGCCATAAACATTTAATACTACTTTATTAAAATCTTAATTTACAGAAACTGATGATGATTCAAGTATTAACAAAACTCATAAAACTCTCTTTGGAGAAGCAAAAAGTTTGAATAAAAACTTCACTAATTAATGCACATTATTGAGATTTTTCAAATAATGAAATATTTCTATTTAAATAAAACATAATTTTATTAAATTCTATAAAGATTTAAGAAAATGATTTTATTTTATTATATATAATGATTTATTTCAATTCTTCTTTCTTTTAGCCATTAATTATTTAAGGGATTCTCCTTTATTCTTTTATTTGGCTAAATTTTTATTTTCTGTAGTTTTAACTTTATCAGGAAATAAAGTTTTTTAAATTTGTTTTGTTTCAGGATCCTCAGAGAGCACCTTAATGATAATTAAACAAAAAATGTACAATCCAATCTTATTTTTCTTCTCCTTCTTAATGACTTTCTTCAGAATCATCTTCATCTCCATAATCATAATCTTCTTAATTTCTTTCACTAGGTTCATCATCTTTATTATCTTTACTAGCAAATATCTAACTGTCTTGTTATTCTTTTGATTAATTTGATAAAAATTTCTTCTTCTCTTCTTCTCTTTATCTTTCTTCTTCAAGTTCCTGTTATTTTCTCATAATTTCTTCTTCTTATTCTTATCTCTTTCTTCTATAAACATCTTCTACATCAACATTAACTTTTAATTCTTTTGATAGCCCACCATTTCTTAAGACTTCAATTTAAGCAAATAATTGATCATTTGTATTCATTTTCTCTTTAACAAAATCAACTATCTTATTTGATGTTGTTAAAGCAACTTCAAAAGTGTTTTTTAAACTTATTACCCTTTTCTCTTTAGTAGCATAATAAGCTTTTTATCTTTACATTATTTAAATCTCTACTTCCTTCTATCTCATGTTTTATTCAATTATCTCTGCTTCTTATGCTTATATTTAAATCTACTAATCTTTTTTATTCTCCTATAACAAAAATAATATAATCTCATTAATTTCAATTATAACTCTAACCTAATCTTTTATATCTATATCAAATATATTTTTTATTATTCCTTTCTTTTCTGAAACCATTTCCTCAATTAACATGATCTGAAATGATTCCAATTTTTCAAATTCTTAAATGAAATTTGAAACTCTCTCTTAGAATTTAAATTCTTATGAGAATACATATTATTTTATAGCTTTCCATGCTAACATATTTTCATAATATCTTTATTCTTCTTCTGGTAATGCCGCTCTTTTCAATGGTCTTGAATTTACAAGTGGTTTCCTTCCACCACATGCAAATATTCCTCCATTTTAAGAAGCAGCAGGTTAATTTATAATAGATTCAGATTAAAGTTATACTTTCTCTACTTTTAATTTAAGTTCTTCTGCCAACTATACTGGACCTTTTTTAGCTTTTATTAAACATCCAGCTATCCAATTAAAAATAATTCCACTCTTATTATCTGGCTCTGGCAAATCTAATTTATCTATTTTTTATTATTTTTATTTAATATTACTTAATATTGACAACTATATTTCTTCTAATAATTTTAATAACTTTGCTTTTTATTTTTATTTCTCAAATACACTCCATTTCTTTTTATCTTCCTCTAATTTTATTTTTTATTCCATCTATTTATACTCCTTTTAAAATGCAGATAATTCTTAATCTAAATGACCTGGTACTTTACATTACTAAATGAATTTTCATCATCTTACTTCTAATAATTTTGAACCATCCAATACCAAAGAATGAAGTTCTTCACTTTTCACTTAGATTTCTCTATAATATTAATCCTTTTATAATTTTCTAATATACTTCACCATCTACATAATTCTTTATTTTTTAATTTAGATTTATGTTCACATTATCAATTTCATTCTTTCTTCTTATACAAAAGTTTGTTGCTACATCAAACCTTTTGACCTCATCAATTTCATCTATAAATCTACACTCTGTTATTTGAATATATTGCATTTCTTAATATAATTAATTTAAATACTTATTTACTCTTAACAGATTATTATTCTAACAATTTTTTAAAATTAAATGCAAATTCATTAATAGAGAGAAATAGTTACCCTATCAAACTCAATTTTGCAATAAATTATTATTTTACTGTTACATTTCTTATTAAAATATTAATATTTGAAAAACAGAAAAGACTTCATTAAAATATGAACCTACTCTCACATTGAATGGAAAGAGCAAAATATTTTACTTGAAAGAAATTATCAAAGGAATAAATTAATAAAAAAAACTAAAGCAGATTTGATCTTAAAAATAAAAATAATCTTGATGATGAAGAAATTTAAAAATAAATAGATTTAATGAATGAATGCATTAGATATTATAACTATGAATTCATTAATTCAGTTTTTCAATGTTTATTAGAATTAATTTTAAGATTACAACCAGAAATGGTTGAAATAGATGATAATTATGATAAAAAAATACTTACTCTATTTGATTTTATCTTTTGTTAGAAAAGAAAAAAGCCAGAGTTAAGAATAATAGAAAAACAAAAAATGAAAAATAATGCAAACAATAATGATCTCTGTGTTGATCTATTCACAAACTAATAATTTATATAATTTAGGGTTTAATTCAATCATTATTTCGTATTATGATGAATATATAAATGATTCTATTATTTAAAATCAGAGTTANCTAAATGAATTTTCATCATCTTACTTCTAATAATTTTGAACCATCCAATACCAAAGAATGAAGTTCTTCACTTTTCACTTAGATTTCTCTATAATATTAATCCTTTTATAATTTTCTAATATACTTCACCATCTACATAATTCTTTATTTTTTAATTTAGATTTATGTTCACATTATCAATTTCATTCTTTCTTCTTATACAAAAGTTTGTTGCTACATCAAACCTTTTGACCTCATCAATTTCATCTATAAATCTACACTCTGTTATTTGAATATATTGCATTTCTTAATATAATTAATTTAAATACTTATTTACTCTTAACAGATTATTATTCTAACAATTTTTTAAAATTAAATGCAAATTCATTAATAGAGAGAAATAGTTACCCTATCAAACTCAATTTTGCAATAAATTATTATTTTACTGTTACATTTCTTATTAAAATATTAATATTTGAAAAACAGAAAAGACTTCATTAAAATATGAACCTACTCTCACATTGAATGGAAAGAGCAAAATATTTTACTTGAAAGAAATTATCAAAGGAATAAATTAATAAAAAAAACTAAAGCAGATTTGATCTTAAAAATAAAAATAATCTTGATGATGAAGAAATTTAAAAATAAATAGATTTAATGAATGAATGCATTAGATATTATAACTATGAATTCATTAATTCAGTTTTTCAATGTTTATTAGAATTAATTTTAAGATTACAACCAGAAATGGTTGAAATAGATGATAATTATGATAAAAAAATACTTACTCTATTTGATTTTATCTTTTGTTAGAAAAGAAAAAAGCCAGAGTTAAGAATAATAGAAAAACAAAAAATGAAAAATAATGCAAACAATAATGATCTCTGTGTTGATCTATTCACAAACTAATAATTTATATAATTTAGGGTTTAATTCAATCATTATTTCGTATTATGATGAATATATAAATGATTCTATTATTTAAAATCAGAGTTATTAATAATTTAGATAACAATAATAATTTATCAGAAAATAAATAAAATTATTAATTTAATAGAATTACATAAATTATTTCATAAAGTATTGTAAAATGCTTGATTACCAAATGCTCCTTTAGTTTATTCTGATATTGCCCATTCTCCTGGTCCAGCAACACTCCTTTTCTGACCTAATTTTCCAGTTGTTGTTGCTGTGTGTTATTTTGTTGGATGATAGAAAAGGCTAGCTACTTTTCCATTTTGTTTCAAACGGGTTCCATCTAAATATGTAATCCAAACACATCCAACATCAGGTTATGAAACAGAATAACAACTAGCATCAAAATATGACCCTACTAATCCTTTCAATATCGTAATTCCGGTTTCAACTAGTGCCTCAATCGCGGCTTACTTCACACCTAGCATCGTTATTTATAAATTGAATATTTAATAATATATTCATGATCAATTTTTATTATCTTTATCTTTATTAATTTTAATTTAAATGAAGTATTTGGAATGTATGATGCTCATTTTCAATTTTAGTATAAAAAAAATTAAATAATAATTAGTGTTTTTGTATAATATAATATTTATTTAATAGAAGGAGTAGTTATTAAAGAGCAATAAATTTAAAAGTGGAATTTGGATGAGCATTTTAGTACAAGAGTTGAGATAAGATAAGCCTAAATCAGTTTGATTTATAAATCCGTAATTGTCAAATGCAGTATTTCAAAAAATACTACATCCTAAATAAAAAAGTAAAGTTTGAATAGGATAATAAGTTCAAATATAAATGCAAATCTAATTCTGCTTTAAAGATTGATATAAATGAATTCACAAATCTATTTCTTATTACATAACTTCTTATGATGAGGATTACTCTTCAGAGGATGGAGGGAATCCTTGAACTTCAAGTTCTCCATTAGGTAAGACAATAACTGATTTATCAGCAGTGAAATATAAGATATCTTTGATTCCTTTATACATTTATTCTTGAGTTAATTGAGAAGCTCCTTCAATAAAGAAATCTAATTCTTTAAATTTTTAGAAGTAATAATCTTTTTCTTGTTTGAGAGTTTCAATTTGAATAAGTAAATCTTACATGGATGGTTATTTTTTTTAATAAGGTTCCATATGAGCAAAAGAATTAGTTTTAGGAATGCTTGATTAATATTAGAGTTGATTAGGACTATTAAAAGTATCTCTTCTTATGCTAGTTCTTGATCTTTCTGGATTTCTTTTAGGAATAATTGCTGGTTGATCATCTAATTCTGCATTTCCTCTTTTTGCTTAAGGATCATAATCTTTCGGTACAACATGTTAATCCATATATTTCTTTAACCATTATAAAAACTCTAGATTATCCTAATATTTGCATTTCGTTAGTTTTTCTATTTCAATAGGTTTTTAAATTCCTAATTTAGAGAATGCTTATTAGAGAACTTTAAAATTGCTGACAAATTCATATTCTTGTTTTGCTTTCCAATTTATTTTATTTAAGGCAACTTAGATTGAGATATTATATATTTACCTTTCCCAGGATGCACTGCATCAATTAATTAACAATAGACTGCTCCAGTTCCCAGTTATTCAATTTTTTATAGAGAGAGTTTTAAGGTGTCATTAATCCATTATAATAGTTCTGCTCTTGATATTTCAGTATTCATATTAATGGGAAATAAAATATAAATCCAACTCAATTCTAAATTCTATTTTCCAAACTAAACTATCTAAGGTAAATATGATAAATCTATAAGAGGAATGATTATAATAGAAGAATCATAAAATACTTTGAAAGATATCTCAAAACTTTATATACATTTATAAGGTGAGGAAGCCTGGGAAAAAGGGTTTGTATGTTATCAATCAGATGATTTTAATATATTCTATTCTTAATTCAAATTACTTAAAGATATCAATGAGGAGCCAAATATAGAGGATTAAAAATTGAAAATTCAAAAAACCATTGCACTTCCATTTACTTATACTTTACCCGATGATATTCCAGGTTCTATGAGAAGATAAAAAGATTATAAATTAAGGATTGCTTATACTATGTCTCTAATTGCTGAGACTTAAGAAATGAATAGAATTACACTTCAATAATTACCTATAACCATCAATTAATATGCAATCAAACATAATAGTATTTAAACTATTTCAAATAGCAATGCTATTCGTGGATATCTTAATACGTTTCAAGGAGTATTCATTTATTTTTATATTTTAGATCTCAAAATTGGAATGTTAATACAGTGGTAATGAATTTTCAATTGGAGATTCAATCAATTTAGAATTACTAATTGATCAACGAGAAAGCAAACAGTATATTTAGGAAATAGTTATTTCATTAAATAAAAGAACCACCATTATTAATAAAGAACCAAAAGTTATTATAGAATAAATTTAAAAAATTAGTTTACCTGGAGTTGTCTAAGGAATTATTTAAAAAATCTAAAAATCTATTTTACTTTTCGATTTTCACAATTAAATGGAACTTTCAACAACAGGAAAATTAATTAAACTTGATTACTTAATTAGAATCTAAGCTTATTCCACTCTTTTTAATATTAATAATAATGATTTAAGAATAGATATCCCTATCAACATATTTCAAAGAGTAATCAAATAAAATGATTTACAGTTTCAAACAAACCAGATTAAAGATCTATTCCATTAATATGATGTAACTTAAATTATTATTGTTAGGTCATAAAACTTTGAAAAACATAGTATAAATATAAAAAATATTTTTAAATTATTAATAAAATATCTTATCTGTCATCCAATTAATATATTCTTAATAGATTTAGAAATTCTGTTTGGAAGAAGGTTTTATATTTTCATAATTAATATAAAATAAAAATTCTTTAATGGAGAAATATTTCCTTTAGAATGAATAAAGAATTTTGTACATATAGAGAGAAAAAATATAATTGTGAAAGATCTTCAAGAATTAATACGATTATCCTTAATAATAGTAATTCCAGGATATTTATATAGCTTAATGGTTGTAAATCAAGATAAAGACTAAAAAGTGAATATAAAATAACTCTTTTAATAACTATAACTGAATGAATTCAAAAAAAGAAGAGAATTATTAATTTCCAGTGATATAAAAAAAAGATCTAATAAATTATAAATTGATCACATAATTATGATAAAAATTAAAAATAAATTCGATGGTTTGATAAAAAGTTTAAATAAGATTTGATTCTTAATAAGTCTAATTGATATTATAAGTTTGAATAGTTTTAAATTAAATAAATATCTATGTAAATCTAAAAATAAAGGGTAATCATGTTAGTAGACTTTGAATAATATTTTATGCATCAAGAACTGTTTACTCTGCTTCTTTCATTCCTGATGTAACGTCAAATTATAAAAATCCATGAGGCATATATTAATACTCAGTAATTTTAATATCTTTTCCTAATTTTTATAATTTATTAGCTAATCTAAAACTTTCATCATGTAAAGGGTCATTAGTACCTAAAACAATTCTTGTTGATGGAAATCTAGACAGAATTTCGTCACTTGCATGTGAAGGTGACAATAATGGATCTGATATTGCATTAAATTATTCGGGAACATATGAAGAAATGCAGAGCTTTAAAACAGTATGATGTAATAATGGATCATTTAAAGATATCAATAAACTTGGAGTGAATTATTTAATATCTAAAAGCAATGCAGGATAAGCCATTAAAATTCCATCTGGAATTCTTGCTCCAGATTTAATAATTTGGACTGTTAATGCAGCCACTAAATTACCTCCTGCACTATCTCCTACCAAAACGACCTTTTTAGGATTTATGTTAAAATATTTATCTATATAGTTCATAATAAACATGTAAGCTTACCAACAATCATCTAAACCAAAAGGATAAGGATATTCTGGAGCTTATCTATAATCTATTGAAAATATTGGCACTTTCAAATTTTTAGCCCACTTTCTAGTATAGGTTTAATGAGATCTTGATGACATACTAACAAATCCTCCACCATGTATATGAAAAATTATTTTATCAAATTATTTTACTCCTTGTATCAATTTAAGTGATTGTTATACTATACTATGTGACTAAATCTTTTAAAGATTTTAATGACATAAAATTCTAACAGGTATTCTCTATTTATTTTTTGAAAGCAATTCTGCACTTTTTGGTAAATCAGTATTTAAACATTCTCCACAATCATTTTAAATTCGATTAATTTTATTTTCTTTATATTATTAAAGTATATTATCTTCTACTAATCTTTTAAATAAATATGGAATATATATCTTATTATTATATGTAATATTTGGAAAGAGCAGAGGTAATAATTTACCTAGAAAACCACTCTCTCCTAAATTCCAGGCTTTAAATGCTAGATTTTTATTAGGTTCAGCCATAAAATGATCAGCCTTCATTTTGGCATCCTTTTTGGCAACCAAATAATATAAAGCACCAAATCCTTACATAAAATTTTTAGCAGCTTCATTATTAAATTCTGATCCCTTTGAGATCATTGCATTAGCTAATAGTAATCCTTCAGCTATTTTTCCATATGATTTTTTGATTTATTCTTTTGAACCCAATAGCACTTCTTATGTTATACTATTTAAACCTTACCATCTATAATTACTTCTTTCATAACAAAAAATATCATCGACATCTAATTTTGAAGCACCAGGCAATTATTCAAGACAGGTTTGCAATTTAGACAAGTAGATTATCAAACTTCTCAATTCCTATTTTTCTCTTCGAACTTCTATTTTTCCAAATAATACTTTTATATGTGATAGTACATAAATTTAAATGAATTCTAACAATATACAAACTGCTTTTTAATTGAATATCTTTTTATTTACATTTATATCATAATCCTCGTTGATTTATTTACTTATTTATTGTTTATCATCAAAAATTAGTCCAATTTACTCCAGTTACAAAATTCCAATAAATGTAATTTTTATCGCTTAGAGAAAACGCGTTACAAAATCTTTATCTTCTTTAAATGTTTTAGTTAAATCAATCGCATTCTAGTGAAGATAATTTAATAAATTATATGTTTAACAAAGATGTTAATACAATTCTTTAGAAATAATTGATTAATTAAATATTGGTGAATCATCCAAAACATTATTTACCATTTAGCATTGTGACTGTTAGATGTTTTATTATTATTATTATTAAAATTATTATTAATCTACTCTTTCTTGAAATTAAGTTTAATCTTCGTTCCATTCTTATGGCATTTAGATTGATTACTCTTCTGTACGTAATTCTAGTTTGATGTCTTAAGTCAGATTTTCCATATTCAAACAAGATTTAATCTAATCTTCAATAGTCTGCATTTTAATTGTTTTATTATAATATATTATAAATGATTGTATCTGTCAATTGATTTATGGAAGATTAGGTAACGATTCATATAGAACAAGAGACTTAGTGGAACAAATTTAAATGAGACTTCTTACATTACCTGTCTTTCTTTTAGGTTTACTCAAATTCTGTATCCGGTATTTTTTTTCAATTTATTGTACATATTCATGAAAATTAGGAGGGTGAGAAATTTTTTTAAGTGTTTCTTTAGGTTCTGTTTTGATTCTTTAATGTTAAAATCTCAATGTTGATTAAGTGTGTTACAATTCTTGTAGCTTCTTTTGTCTACTAAAACTCCAATCACTTGATTGCCAAGTTATTCTCAATCTTTATTTGTCCATTATAAAATTAAATATTATATATCATATATCTGATAACATGATTTCAAACAATTCTTTTACATTCATTTTTTAAATTTATATATATTACTCTTTTGTGAATTCTCCCATCATAGGTCCATTATTCTATTTTTATTCTAAATCATCATTCTATAATTAGAATAACATTTTACTGATTATGATTTGAATTTCAATTTTTCTCCCTCAAAAGCTGAATCACTTTCCAAACACTTCAAAATATCAATCATATGATCATAAAATTAAAGAGCTTTAGTTTCATTTTAACCTTCCATTATTTCTGCTTAATTTGATAGACAATAGAAATAATTCAAAACAATACTTGTATAATATTACCAATCCATTTCTATAGTGTATAAATATAAATAAATACATTTAGAGTTTTATAATTCATTAAGTACATATTCATCAAAATCTTTATATTAATTTTTCCTCCTATTAATAAAGGATTCTAAATTAAACTTAGCATTTTCATAATATAATTAATAAACATAACAATTTTCCTCGGTCTAATTAAATAAACAAAAAAATACTTCTTTAGCAATCTCGTTTAAGGATTTACTTTAATATTTTTATTAGTTTTTCAATTAGGAAATCAATGAATCTAATTTTCTGGATAGAATGATGATTCTTTTAGCAAGCATATATTAAACATAATATTAGTTTAGATTTTTAATAACTTTGTAATCTTTTCTCAAACTTTCACTATTACCTAATGTTTCTTAAATTTTAAATTGTAATTATCTAATCATTGAGAATTTATTCATAATATTCTAATAAAACTAATCAAAAGTTCCTAGATCCTTTTATTATCCAAATTCTAAATATGGATCTTAATATAATTGATCCCATGTAATTCTTTGATTAGGATCTTTAGTTAACATTCTTCTAAGTAATCTTTTAGCATCATCACTAATCCTAACATTAGTTTTTGCAGGAGTAAAATTTAAATCTTTAGCTTTTTCAATATTATCAAATAAATCTTTTTCATTCTATCCAACAAATGGATACTATAAATCAAAAAGCATTTAATAGAAAATAACTCCTAATGACCATATATCTGCTTTATTATCATATCTAATTCTTCCTCTACCTTTAAATACTTCCGGTGCCTTTGTATATGGAGTACCAACTTAAGTCACTCCAACTTCACCAACTTTACTAAGACCGAAATCAGCAATTTTAATTATACCATCATGAACAAGAATATTTTTTAATTTTAAATCACGATGAATTACAAACATATCTTATAATCCTTTAAAACCATTCAGCAATTATTTTAAAAACTCTTTCGCTTAACGTTCAGATAAAGGTTATTTATTCTTCTCTCTAAGTAACTTTATATAAGAATCTAAATCTCCTCCATTACAATATTCCATTACTAAATAATGCTTATCTTTTGTTTCTATATGATCAATCAAACTTATCACATTTTCATTCACTATCATTTACATTATTCTTTTTTCTGTTTAAAATAATTCTTATCTCTTTTTCACCTTCTCTAATTCTAACTTTATTGCTTGCTTTATAGCTACTTGTTATTTCTATGCTCATTTATTCAAATTTACAGTCTAAATATTCTCTGCCAAATAAACTTCTCCAAATTCCCCTTTCCCTATCACCTTCAATATTCCATATTTGCCTTCTAAAATTTATTAATATTTAGTTGCCATTATTATTTATTAATGTTTTTACCAATCAACACACAAAGTACTCAATGATAGAAATTTTAGGAACTTATTTGAATGTCAATGATTGTATTGATGGATTAAAAGGATAAAAATTGCATGACATATCCTTATAAATTACTCAAACTAGAAATGAAATTTTAAAACAAATGCAATCATCAACTAATAGAAAAAGAGTATTAGGTGAAGAAATGAGTTAAAATATTGATGAATTCTTAGAAGCAGTATATTATAATTAATATATAACTTTAGAAATATTCAATTAGCAAAAAATTTCAAAAATAAGTCTTTAACTTGATAGATTCAAATAAAATTGAATAAGAATAAGAACAATTCAAATTTCAATGTATTGAAACAAATGAAGTTAAAACTGATCTCGAATAATTACATGAATTAATTAAATCTTCATTTAGTAAATGATTAGCCATTAAATATAATTCGCATTATATTTTATTTAATATTTTTATATTTTAGTATAAAAAAGTAGAATCAATGAATTAGATTGAGAAGAGAAATAGAAGTAAAGAGATTTCTTAAAATTCTGATATTAATGTCTTAAATGATAAGTTTTTTTTTAATTAAAATATATTAGCCGTCATTCAAATGCGCTGGAAACTCCAGAAATAAAAAGAAAGTTCAGCGTTGACAGAAGTTAAAGTTAGCTCCAGAGTTCCTTTGATTAATTCAATTAGATCTAATTTCACGAGTAAAATAACTTATTTATTCAATAGTGAAACATTTCCATAAGGTAGCAATATTAATAATTCAAAAATGTCTGAATATTCATTAGAAAGCATTGAAAGAGATGACATGGTTGAAGATAGAGTTAATCGTCATACATTACAAAAATCAATTCATAACTATTAAAAATTAATATAATCAGCTACACAATCACTTAACATGTAACAAAAACCTAAACCAGATCCTGAAAAATCAGGTGTTGCTATTAATTTCATGAATGCTTTTAATTAACATCAAGAAGTATAAAATGAATATTTTAATGATGTTGAATATGAAAAAATCATACGAAGACATAAAAAATTAATTGTAAAAAATACAATGAAGGATCCATATTATGTTAGATTAGTGAAATTATCAGAAATATAAAGATTAAATTATGAGTTGCAAGTAAATTTTACCGTTTATTTTTAGAAATATAATGATAATTTGGCTTTGTTAAATCTAAGAAAAGGCTTTATTTATTTCTTACATGGCATCCCTATAATGGCAAGAATTATTGTGAACAATTTTATATTTAAAATCCTAATGACATTTCTTATCCTATTTAATGTGATACTATATATTGTAGTTAAAACAAATGGAAGAACTGATACAGATCATATAGAAGAAGTAGTTACACTATTATTTATTTCTGAAATTGGATTAAGAATTATTGCAAGTGGAATCTTTTTTAATGATTATGCATTTTTTAGAAATATGGAAAATATTTATGATATTGTACTTATAATTTTCACAGCAATGAATCTTTACTATCCAGAAATAATAATTATAGATATATCTCCTTTAAGATTGGTAACTTTGTTGATGTATTTGACAATTATTTTTCAGGGATTAAATGTAATGATGACAGCATTAAAATAATCAGTAAAATATTTGATTGAAGCATTAATGATTGTGATTCTATTTTCATTAATATTTGCATCTATGGGGATATTTTTATTTTAAGGATTGTTCAATTACAGATGTTAATATGAAAATGGCGATGAAACTGATGGATGGATATAATGTTAAATAGATCAATGTCCAGATGGTATGCTTTGTATGTATAGCGAAAAAACTCCAAAAATGCCAACTTCTTTTAATGATTTAATTGGTTCTTTGGGATAGATTTTAAGAACTATTACGATGGATGATTGGAGTTGGGTAATGTTTTTTACAATGAGGATATTTCATCCTTGGATTTGGTTGTATTATTTATTAATCATTTTTATTGGAGGTTTTTTTGGATTTAATATTGTTATTGCTGTTTTGAAAGTTCATTATGCTGAAGCCACAGAAGAAAATAAAAAAAGAGAAGAAGAAAAAGAGATTGAAAAAAGATTGAAAGAAGAAAATGAATTCCCAGAAAGAAATTTATTAGAAATTTTAGATGTTGCACATTTAAGAGAAATAGGCATCTATAAAGTAATCAAAAAATATAGAAATCATTTAACTGAACCTATTATTAAAAAATTTGCAATTGAAGATCCTAATAGCTTCAAAAAATCATATCAAACTACGAGAACATTATCAGCTAAATAAAGATAAATGGAAAGTGGAATCATTAAAATATCTTTTATTTAATATGTCACAGGTTTAACTTGGAAAAGATTTCTTTTACCAAAGTTTGATATTTTAAATGCTTTAATTAAAAGAATAAAACCTAAAAATTATACTGAAGATGAATTTAATATGAAAATTATTGAAAAACTTAAAACTATACATTTTTCAAGACTTTAACCATAAGTAAATCTTTAAGTAAAACAAAATTTTAACTCTTCTAATGACATTTTAATAAAACTAATGTATTTATTATTATTAATATTTTTAGTAATTAATAAGATTTGATTCAAAAAGAAAAAAACTTTAATTTAGAAAAGATAAGATCTCTTAAATTCAAAATGATTTATCATTAGATTAAAATTGAAAAAGAAAAATTGTATGGAAAAACATAATTTGCAAAATCAAGTTTTCCTACTAAAACAAAGGGTCAACAACCATTTATAAGTAGAAATTAAAAGAAAATTGAATAAACCACAGATTCTATTGTCAACTTTGAAAGATCAGAAATAAAATAATCTAATAAAATGAAATTTTCATAAATTTTAGAAACTTAGCATAAAAATTTCTCCATTTTTCGAAATGGATAACCTTATATATTTGTTTAAGGATATTATACTAATTATGAAGGAGTACAAGATAAAATTAATTAAAAAATCCCATCAATAAATCATAATTAAATTTCTAATAAATTTAAATATTAAAGTATGAGAATGAAAGAATACTAAAATCATAAAACAATCTAAAAACATAATTGGTCTGGCAAAGATGTACTTGAAATAAATAAAAATAGATTAAAATACTTTTAAGTAGTCTTAATTATGCTTAATAAAGCTGATTTCCTTATTTGGATGAAAGGAATTAAGGGATTTTACATAATGTCTTAAAAATATGCCTATTTAACTGTTACTAGTAGATTTAGTCAATTTTTCTTTGATTTAGTAATCCTGAATAATTTTACATTTTTATCTCTTTAAGGAATTGTAGATATCAATATCATTTCTGCTGTTGAAGATATTTCAACGATATTTTTATGTTGTGAATTGTTGATGAGATTTTTTGGTTTTAAATTAAGAGATCTTTTAAGATCTCCAGATTTAATTTTATAATCTACTATTGTAATTATCAATTTTTTCGAATTCACCATGAGTGATTATATGACAACATTTCTGAATGAACAAAATTTAAGATTAATTAGAGGAACAAAATGTTTATTATTCTATAGATGTTTAAAATATAATAAAATGGCTATAACAATTGGTCATATTGCTTCTATGACTTTCGATTAATACATTTACTTAGCATTTTTAATGTTTTTAGTAATATTTATGTATGCTCTAACAGGAATGGAAATGTTTGTTGGAAAGTTTGATTAAAATGATTCTCTTGGATAATTACATTCTTATGAAAATATTTTTAAATCTTTTATGACAATCTTTAATATAATGACAAATGATGATTGGTATGGAGTATATGTAATTGGAAGTGATATTAATTTCACATTTTCAATTATTTATTCATTTTCTTTAGTGTTAATTTTAAATTACTTAACTTATGGATTAGTTATGGCTGTTTTATTGGATGGATTTGGAAAATATTTAGATTAACCAGTAGAAGAAATTTAAAATGAAATTCAGAAGAATATTAATGAATAATTATAGCATATAACATAAAATTCAGATGAAATATAAATGTAATTAATGGAAACATATTCAGAACCAGTATTGACAAAAAAAAATTTAACAAATGAAGAAATTTATAAAAATAAACCAAATTTAATTTATAATTTAATAAAATCGATAAGTAAATAAAATATAATATAATTTTTTAGAATAAATTAATAGGAAATTATTAGAAAGAACACCTTAATTATATGAAGGAATATAATGTGAATCTTCTTTATTTTTTTTTGAAAAAGATAATATATTTCGTATTATCTTGACACATCTTACAACATCAATGGTTTATATCTATATTATGGATATAATCACATATTTATCAATAATTGCTTTTATCCTAAAAACTTATAATGATTATGAAACAAATAGTGAAACCTACCCTGATACTCTTCAATTCTCTTGTAATATAATATAATTAGCAGATACTATTTTTAATATAATTGCAAAAGGATTATTTATGGATCAAGGATCATATTTAGTATCAACATTTTAAGTTTTAGATTTTATTTATTAAGTTTCAAATATCATAGCATTTGGAAGTAATCCTGAAGATTTTAAACCAATTTTGAAAATCTTATTATATTTAGGTTACTTTAGACCTATGAAATTAATGTATAGATTAAGTTGGCTTACAAACTTAAGAGAAGCTATTGGAAGATCATTATTTGATATTCTTAATGTCTTAATCACTTTATTATCTGTATGGATAATGTTTGGAGTATATGGTATAATTCTTTATGAATAATAATTTGGATATTGTGAAGACAAAATGGTTTTTGAAGTAAATAAATAGACTTGTTTATAAGAAGGCAAAATTTGGGTGAATTATAAACATAATTTTGATAATATTACTATTGCTATTCCTACATTATTTGTAACAGCAACTTTAGATGGTTGGGGAGAAATATATTAAGTTGCTGAAAATAGTTAAGTAGCAGAAATAGGTCCATAAGGATTTAATTCATATATAGTAACATATATTTTCTTCTTACTTTTTGTATTCATAGGATCAATGTTTTTTTTGAGTTTATTCACAGGAGTTCTATATACTAATTTAAAAAAAAATTAAATGGAAATTGAAAAATCAGAACTTACTTAATCATAAAAAGAATTTAAAGAAATTTCATCTATGTTAATAAATGATTTCCCACAATTCTCAACTCCACCTACTCATGGAATAAGAAAAGTCTCCTCTGATATTACTAGTAGTCTTACTATTTAAAAATGCTTATTTTTACTTCTATGGGTTGATTTTATAATATTATTAATGTTTACATCTGAAATGAATGAAGAGTATTTCAGAGCAATTAATGATGTTCATAATGGATTAAGTGTTATATACTTTTTATGGGTTGTATTATTATTTTTGGCTTTAGGAGTAAATAGATTCTTTGATAATTATTGGAGAAGATTTTATTTCTTTTTAATTCTAATTGCAATAATTGATTTCATAGCAGATTATTCAATTGATTGGATCATGATATATTATAAATCAACTCCTCATGATACAGGATTCTAATTACTTCGCTTATTCTTTTCTTTAAGAAGTTTAAGGATTATTTTAATTTTCTAAGGATTTATCAATCTATAAAGATTAATAAATGTAATCCTTTTTGCTTTACCATATTTGGGTAAAATTTTTGCTATTTTAATAATCACAATGCTAGTTTTTGCTTTGTTTGGCTGTCAATTATTTGGTACAATAGATGCTGGATAAGTTTTAGATGACTAATTGAATTTTATGACAGCTGGAAGTGCAATGATGACTTTATTCAAATGTGCTTCTGGTGATGATTGGAGAACAATAATGACTGATACTATGCATCATAATCCATTATGTTGGGAAGATCCAAAATATTGTGGATCATTTGCAAGTTAAATATATTTCTTTTTATTTATGTTTTTTTCCACATATGTTCTATTAACCCTCTTTTTATTAAGTTTAATAGAATAATTTGAATCATTTTTCTAAATATAAGACTCACCAATTTAATCATATGTAGAAAATATTGATAAAATTAAAACAATTTGGTGTAAATACTCATCAGAGACTTAAGGATAAACGATGCATTATAAATTTTTATGTAAATTTCTATTAGATATTGGTAAACCTTTAGGAGGAGGAGAAGAAGAAAATCTTTGGGATGTCGCAAAAATAGCTTCATCATTTAAATTAAAATGGTAATTCATTATCAAATATTAATAGTGATCATTATGGTTACATTTAATACAATTAATTGATTTATGAATTATTTAGAGTTAAATTCCATACAGAAGTTTTTAAAGATGCTCCTCCTGATTCTATTAAATAAATTAAATAATTTAGCAAAGAAATGCAATTACGATTGATGTATTATAGAAAAAATAAGAACATTGAAAGATCTAATATTAGTTCTGCACTTTAATTAAAAGCTAATTTCAATATTCTTCATGATTATCTAACTGTTTTGATTCTATTTAAAACTTGGGAATCTTATAGCAAAGTTCTTATAAAAAAATTAGCTATCAAACAAAATTAATTTTCTGATGATGCTATATCCATGGATAGTGAGCTATAGTAAAAGTATTTTAATTTATTATTATTATTAAATTAGTCACAATCAAAATGCAAATCATTTAATTGAACCAGAAATGTTTGAAGCCTCTTATGAAGAAGCTACATTAAATGGTAATTTTAAAATTAGAAAACACCATAATACAAATGAAAGTTAAAATTTATCAAATATTGATTTACCTATTTATAATGGCAATGCTCCACAATCTATTTTAGATGAAGATATCAAAATAATATTTTCTGCTGCTGGAGAAAGATAACCTATAATATGAATTTTTTTTATTTTTTATTTTATTTTGTTTAATAGTTTATTAAATATCAATGTTTTTATTAAAATGTAGTATTTTTTATATTTTTAAATATTGAGGAAGATCCATTTCATCACTTAATAAAAAATTTAATGTAAAAATAATACGTAACATCATTATATATATATTCGTCAATTAGAACACTAAATTTCAAAGTAAAATAAAAAATTAAAACATGGATAATGATTATTATGATTTTCTCGATCATTCATTAGATTATAAACCTAAAAAGAGAGGACAAAGAGGTATCATCTTAATACATTAATTTTAGCTTTAACTGATTAAGAGATCATAGTGAGAGAAAGAATGAAACTTGTTAAAAATAGAGAATCAGCAAAAAATAGTCGTAAGAGAAAAAAAATGTATGTTGATCTTTTAGAAAATAAAGTAATTTTTTTCTATATAAATTAATCAGGTAGCTGGTTTAAATTAATAGTTACAGGAATACAAATTATTATAAGAATAAAGTTAATCATTTTTAGCAAACACTCAATTTTAATTATTTTTTGGAAAATCACAAAATAAATAAGATTAATTGAATCATTATTTAAATGAAATTTATGAGCAAACTATTCCTTAACTTGCTTTACATATAAAATAAAAAAATCCGAATCCAGTCTTAGAATTTTGTTTCTTAAATTTTCATAATTGTTTCAATGATATGAATATTATCAAAGAAGAAATGATTTAAGAATTAAAATAAACAGAGGATACTATGAAAATTGCCAAAGAAATTCCAGAATTCTAAAGATTTATTGAACATGTTAAAAACCTTGATTATAAAAATTAATTAGATAATATAGAAGAAGTATAATTTTGTTTAATCAAGGATTTGGGAACTATCATTAAAACCAATGATTTAATTATGTCGGTTATGGAAGTTTTTGAATTATACAATAAATCTTTTCAATTATCTAAGAAACACAAAATAAATTGAAAATATATTTATAGGCTAAAATGACATGAAAACCTTAACTTTATTTTATTATATAGTTATCATAAAATATAACAATTTATAAATACAAAACTCTAGTTTTATTTTTAAAAGGACAAATGTTGTTAAGACATAGTTTTATTAAGAATAGTCGTTGAAATTATTTTTAATAAATTAAAAATTATTAATTTAAGAAATATTTTTAGGTTTTATGGATAAAACAATTCATATTGATTGTTTCTTTAAATTTAACCCAATATATCTATAAATTTGTTTATTAAATATAGAATTATTCTCTAATAAACCTATTAAGTTAAATAACAAATTAAGTAAAGCATATCAATAATTAAAAAATTTGTGATGTTTGCAAACTTTAAACTCTGATATTACAATAAATGAGATTTGTCTACAAAAAATAGATTTAAAATTAATTGAATCAAGATTTTTAAATGAAAAAGCCACTCCAATTTTGATTGTAAATTTTAAAGCATAAAAATGATTTAATTTGAGATAAAACAAAAGATTTTTAAGATTTTATGAATTCATTGATGTAATTGAAATAAATATATAGAGGATTTTATTAAAATTAGCTTATTTAATATTAAATTTGAGTTTAAAAGAGAAAAATGATCTTATTTTAATAATAATAAATGAGTATAGAATTTTGAGTGTTATTTTAAAATGACATATTGGTAATCAATTTAAATTAGGAAGTTGAATTAGAATAGTTTGTGTATATTTAAAAAAGATCCGAAAAATTATTAAAATGGGTTGCGGAAAAACCTCTAATATTTATGTAAAAGAAATTTTATAATAAATAAAGAACTTAATTGGAATTAAAATTTTTAATACTAGACAATGGAAAAGAAAACGGGAAGAATTATTTTAGAATAATAAGCATAGAATTAGATATTGGAAAGTAATATTAACAGCAGAATTTAATAATTATGAAGAGAAAGAATAAGTAAATAAGAGGTTAAAGTCAAGTGTAAGTTTTATTTCAAGAGATATTTAATTAATATATAAATTCTAAATTGAATGATCAATTTAATCCATTTAATTAGGCTAGTTATGATTCGATGATTTTGATAGTTTT